TGGCTACTAGAAAAATTTTAAATTACATATGTGGCTGTCATTATCTTTCTGGTGAACAGTGAGATTCTAAATCCTTGCTACTCACAGAACAGTCGGCAGGCCAGCAGCTGCAGCTGTCATGTGAAAGCTTGCGAGAAACAAAGAAGCTCTCGCCCTGCTCCAGACCTACTGGATCAGAATTTGCATTTTAACAAAATCTCCTGTGATGTGTATGCATGTTAAAATTTGAGTAGCACAAAGCTCTAAGACTGGGATTGCCAGATTTAGCAAATAAAAATATAAGATGTCCAGTTAAATTTAATTTCGGATAAGCAACAAATGATTTTTTTTAGTATAATGTGTCTAAATATTGCGTGAAACATACTTATTATTGAAATTTTTGCTTTTTTGAAATTCAGATGTTACTGGGTGTCTTATATTTTATTTGGCAAACCTACCCAAGACTAAACTCCTCCATTCCAAACCTGTCTTGCTACCTGAAATTCCACATAATCACGAAAAAGGCAGAAAGGCAACAGACATGAGAAGTGGAAGTAAAATGAAAGAACAGAGAAGAAAAGGAAATATGATGGGAAGTAGGAATAAGATAGGCATGGAAAGGCCGCCTTGATAGTGGTGACCTTTTCTATTTTATAATATTTCTTAGCATCTTCCTTCGTTATTTCTCCATCTCCATTTCCACCCCCTCCCCAATTCCTAGTCATTGTGCTTTCATCTTCTCTTCTCATTTTCTGTAGGGTTCCTTAGAGCTATGTTAGAAGATGCTGTGTGTGCAAAGTAGATAGTAAGGAAGGGGAGTATGTCCTTAGGGTAAAGTCCCCAGACTTCCTATAATCAATCAGCTCTGAAATGCCACTTACAGATAGCCCCTTTCAGCTACCAGTACTTTGCCATTAAAGAGATCAAGGTTCTTAAGTGCCAAAAATGCTAATGCTTTTGTTTTAGAGAATTTTCTTTATTGTGGCATTTTAATTGTATTTTTCAAAAAGATTTTATTTATTTATTTGTCAGAGAGAGAAAGAGAGAGTGAGCACAGGCAGACAGAATGGCAGGCAGAGGCAGAGGGAGAAGCAGGCTCCCTGCCGAGCAAGGAGCCTGATGTGGGACTTGATCCCAGGATGCTGGGATCATGACCTGAGCCGAAGGCAGCCACTTAACCAACTGAACCACCCAGATGTCCCTTTAATTGTATTTTAAATTTAATTTTATTTTTAAAGATTTTGTTTATTTATTTGACAGAGAGAGAGATCACAAGTGGGCAGAGAGGCAGGCAGAGAAAGGGAAGCAGGCTCCCTGCTAAGCAGAAAGCCTGATGCGGGCCTTGATCCCAGGACCCTGAGATCATGACCTGAGTTGAAGGCAGAGGCCTAACCCACTGAGCCACCCAGGCGCCCCTAATTGAATATTTTAAAGTCAAATAACTCTTTGGGATTTTGTTGTTTGGTTTGTGTTTTTGCATACATTTTAGGTGGCAGGGGAGTGAGAGTGAAGGCTGGCAAGGAGGGAATAACAATAGATAGTCTTTATTTAGCTAGGCATTGAAGAAAGAAAAGGCTTTCCTCTATTATATTTATTTATTTAAAATTTTATTTTATTGTGTTAAGAACACTTAACATGAGATCCACCCTCTTAACAAATTTTTAAGTGTATAATACTGCACTGTTAACCATAGGTGTGCTCTTGTACAGCTGATCTCTAGAATTTATTAGTTTTGCCTAACTGAAACTTTATGCCCATTAATTGGTAACTTCCTATTTTCTCCTCCCTCCCCTGCTGCCCAACCCCTGGTAACCACCATTTCTCTCTTTGATTCTATGCTATGCCTATTCTAGATGCCTCATATAAATGGAATCATGTGGCATTTGTGACTGGCTTATTTCAATAATAATAATGTCCTCAGGGTTCATCCATGTTGTCACATATTGCAGAATTTCCTTTTTTTTTTTAAAGGCTGACTAATATTCCTTCGTGTGTATATACCATATATTCTTTATCCATTCATCCATCTACAGACACTTGGGTTGTTTTTACATCTTGGCTGTTGTGAATATCAGTGCTGTAGTGCACTAATACTTCTTTGAAATCTTGATTCCAAGTATTTTGGGTAAATACCCATACATGCAATTGCTGGATCATATGGTAGCTCTATTTTTAATATTTTGAGGCATCTCCATATTGTTTTCCACAGCAACTGTACTATTTTGTATTCCTACCAACAGTGTACAAGGATTCCAGTTTCTTTACATCTTTGCCAACACTTGTCTGTTCATTTGTTCTTTCTTACCTTCTTTCTTTCTTACCTTCTCCTCTTCTTCGTCTTCATCTTCCTCTTCTTTTTCTTTTTTTAATAATAGCCATCTTGACAGGTGTTAGGTGTTACCTCTTTATGGTTTTGATTCACATTGCTGTGGTGATGAGTGACATCGAGCATCCCCCCTTTTTTTTCTTAAAGATTTTACTTATTTATTTGACAGAGAGACACAGCGAGAGAGGGAGCACAAGCAGGGGGAGTGGGAGGGGGAAAAGCAGGCTTCCCATCAAGCAGGGAGCCCAATGTGGGGCTCGATCCCAGGACACTGGGATCATGACCTGAGTCAAAGGCAGATGCTTAATGACTGAGCCACCCAGGTGCCCCTGAGCACCCTTTTATATATATGTTGGTCATGTGTGTGTCGTCTTTGGAGAAATGTCTTTTCAAATCTTTAGCTCATTTTTAACTTAAGTAATTTGTGTTCTGTCTGCTACTGAGTTGTAAGAGTACCTTACATATTTTGGAAATTAAAGATTTGTTAGATGTATGTTTTCCAAATACTTTCTCTTATTCTGTGGATTGCCTTTTACTATTGATTGTTTCCTTTGCTCTACAGAAACTTTTTAGTCTGATGTAGTTCCATTATTTTTGCTTTTATTGTCTGTGCTTTGGTGTCATATCCATGAAACCATTGCCAAGAACAGTGTCATGAAACTTTTCCCTATGCTTTCTTCTTCTTTTTTTCTTTTTAAAGAGTTTATTTATTTATTTGACAGAAAGAGAGAGAGAGAGTGATTGAGTGTGAGTGCACAAGTAGGAGAAGCTGCAGAAGGAGAGCGAGAAGCAGGCTCCCCACTGAGCAAGGACCCCCCCCCCAACTGTGGGGGTCCATCCCAGGGCCCTATGAACATGACATGAGTGGAAGGCAGATGCTTAAGCCACCCAGGCGCCCCTCCCTTTGCTTTCTTCTAGGTTTTAAGTCTTTAATCTATTTTGAGTTGATTTTTTTGTCTGGTGTGAAATAAGTCTCCAATTTCATTTTTTCCTTGTGGACATCTAGTTTTCTCAGCACCATTTGTTGAAAAGACTGTCTTTTTCCCATTGTGTGTTCTTGGCAACCTTGCTGAAGAGCAGTTAGCTGTATATGTGTAAATTTATTTCTAGGTGCCTGTACTGTGTTCTGTTGATCTGTATGTCTTTTTTTTTTTTTTAAGATTTTATTTATTTATTTATTTATTTGTCAGAGAGAGAGAGAGAGAGCGAGCACACAAGCATGCAGAATGGCAGGCAGAGGCAGAGAGAAGTAGGCTCCCTGCCGAGCAAGGAGCCCAATGCAAGACTCAATCCCAGGACCCTGGGATCAAGGCCCGAGCCGAAGGCAGCAGCTTAACTGACTGAGCCACCCAGGCGTCCGCCTGTATGTCATTTTTAAAAAATATTTTATTTATTTATTTACTAGATGGAAGGAGAGAGAGCGTGCACGCACACACAAGCAGGGAGAACAGCAGGGAGCGGTAGAGGGAAAAGCAGGCTCCTCACTGATCAGGGAGCCTGATGCAGGGCTCTATCTGAGGACTCTGGGATCATGACCTCAGCTGAAAGCAGATGCTTAACAAACCGAGTCACCGGGTGCCCCTGTACATCAGTTTTTAATGGCAATACTATGTTTATTTATTTTATTTTTTATTTTTTTAAAAGATTTTATTTATTTATTTGACAGAGATCACAAGTAGGCAGAAAGGCAGACAGAGAGAGAGGGGGAAGCAGTCTCCCCACTGAGCAGAGAGCCCAATGCGGGGCTTGACCCCAGGGTGCTGAGGTCATGACCTGAGCCGAAGGCACAGCCTTAACCGTCTGAGCCACCCAGGTGCCCCTGACAATACTATGTTTAAATTACTGTAGCTTTGCAATGTATTTTTAAATCAGGAAGTGTGACACTTCCAGCTTTGTCCTTTCTCAAGATAGATTTGGCTGTTTAGGGCCTCGATATATCTTTGCAACAGTTCTTCGAGTAAAATACTTTTGTCCCCACTCTGCAGATGGGGTAACTAGAGCTGTGAGTGCACTTGAGGGGTGTCTGACTCCAAAGTCAGTGCTCTTTACCATTATATTCCAGATCTCTTAGCACATGGAGAGTCATGAATTTAATAGGAAAATGTGAAGTAGGACACATATGTAAAATTAAGTAAGTTTCAGAGATTTTTATCATTTATTCACCTGAAAAATATATGTAATGATATATATTTTGTAGATTTTTGAGGAGAATATAATAGCTTCCTGAAAAGCAGTATGAGATTCTTACTAAGAGTTAAGAGTATCAAAAACAGTGCTAGTTACAGGCACCTGGGTGGCTCAGTGGGTTAGAGCCTCTGCCTTCGGCTCAGGTCATGATCCCAGGGTCCTGGGACCGAGTCCCAAGTTGGGCTCTCTGCTCAGCAGGGAGCCTGCTTCCCCCTCTCTCTCTGCCTGCCTCTCTGCCTACTTGTGATCTCTGTCTGTCAAATAAATAAATAAAATCTTCAAAAAAACCCAACAATGCTAGTTTCTAAAAAGAGGTTAATTGAAAATCTGCTCCCTAATAATCTTTCATGAATAAGCAAACATCCTAAATAGATCCACTGCTTTCACTCTACACTCTAAATTAAGCAGTATCAGGCCCCTCCCTCCACCCTCTCCCATGCATAATGCATCCTGGGAATATGGTCTTTTTATTGGTTGAATATGTTGTCAGTCACAAGACATGGAAAATACTGCCTCTGCTCTTTTTGCATTTAAGAATTAACAGATGTGCTTGCTTTGAAGAAATTGATTCATTTCTTGATGGGAAGAAAAATCTTCTTTAGTTTTTCACTTATCTTTTTATGTATAGGATTTTCATTAACTTTGGATCAGATACTTGCCAGGAAGAATGTAAGGTGAGTAACTGCACGTTTTTTTTAATTCAGTGCATCTGTGAACTTCAACACAAGTGTGAAATTAGATGGTTCTGTAATTTCTTTATATTGTTGCACAGTTATATTTGTTTATAATTCAAATTGGTTAGATTAGATCATTCTGTAGCTAATAAAATCATTGAACTAGAGTTTATAAATAAGAGATGAAAATACAGTATTTATTATAAGAGGCAAGAATTATTAAAAATGCACAAGAAGCATTTGTATTATGTATCAAAGTATATATGTGAGAAAATGACTCAAATCAGTGTTCAGGTTTCTTTTATACTTACAAGTAAATATTCATTTGATGGTTTTCTCCTGCTATTTTTACAAGAGAAGAGAACAAGGAAAAATTTAAAAACCTCAGAAATACATAACCTGTTCTTCAAAGAAAAGGTGTCAAATCATTTTAACTGGTAGGAGACAGTAGTTGTTTGGAGTACATACTGTTGAAAACTAACAAGCAAAACTTCTATTTCTGTATCCTTTGTCTTTTAGCTCTTTCCATCCGTGTGAGGGAGTCTATAGAGATTTATCTATAAGGGAAGATATTCAGAATCTGAATAACAGTTAGCTTATGTTCTGTCTCCTAATTGCTCATCATGTGTCATTACAATAAATATCAGGGAATTTAGTGCAAACACAAAGGATAGCGCCAAGTAGGATGGTCTGCCAAAACTTGTGTTAAAGAATCTTTAGGTCACCAGCTGATAAAAACTATAAGTACAGGCATATCCTATTTGTTTTTCCCATTGTTTCTAAATCAGTTAGTGCTTTCCCTCAAGTTCATTTTCAAATAACAAGAGACCTATACTTCTTAGGTTATTAAAGCTTAGTAAGGTTTCCTTACTTTGTTTTTACAGAGATGACTAATTTGTGTATTACACTGGTAAAATGTACACCAAATACTATAAAAATCCCAATTCTGTTTTTGAAGCAAGGTTAATGGGTTTAAATAATCTCAGCTTCAGAAGGGACCCTAGAAATCACATCAATTGATGATCATTTGAATCTAATAATGTAGCATATTAATTTATTATGAAAGAAACAACAGTTGCTATTTTGTGAATGTCTTCTAAATCATAGATCTGAAATTTAAAATATCTCAGTTTTATGGGTCAATTCAAGGTTCTTAAGTCTCTAGGAGGGATGACTGTATTTTAAATTAATAGTTGTTTCCTAAGCTTAGAGAGAGTAGAGGTCAGCACTCTTTTTTACATATTGCTTCCTCAAACTGGGTTTAAACAATTCCTTTAACAAAAGGAAATCTTTTGTCTCTCACACAGCATCCTTTGTGATCTCTCTTTTCTACTTCTCTTTCAGACTTTGTTTGTTTCTTAAATCTGTTCATTCATTCATGCATGTAGCACATATGTTTTTAATACTTGGTACTTTTAAATAGCTAGGTGCTGTGCTAGGTACTGGGTCTACAATGGTGAGCAAAACAGATCTAGTCCCTGCCTTCATGAAGCTTTAAGTCTGGTGGAGGAGGTACTCTTATTAGTCAAAGTGAATCATGCTGTGAAAGAAAAGTGTGGGAGGCTATGAGCGCGTCTAACAGGCAGATCTTAACTGGTCTGAGATGGTAGAAATAGTGCTCTTAAGGAAGTGACATTTAAGCTGTGATCTGTAGCAAAGGGAGGAAGCGGAGAAGGGGAGGAGGAGGGGAGGATAGAGAACATTCCAGGTGGAGGGAACAGCAAATGCTGACTCTTATGAGAGAAGAAGGAAACATGAAGCCTTCAAGGAGCTGAACTAAAGACGGCTGGTTTAGCTAGAACAGACAGGGTAAGATGTCAGCTGAGGTGAGTATAGTTAGCTTGTCTTTCCGGGCCGCAGAAGCCAATGGTGGGAATGTGGTCTTCATCCTGCACAGAGCCATGACAGAGCTGTTTCACCTTCACCTTCATGAAGGTATTACTTTGCAGACTCATGAGGGACCACCGCGTATTTTAAAAAATATGGCACCAGCCACTACAAGCTTCGGGCTCTTGATTACTTTTCAAAGGTATTGCAGAGATCCCTTTTACTGAGCAAGGACTGGAATATTTTAGAGACAGTATAGGTTTTGTTTCTTTATTTTTTTCTTTAAAAAATTTTTTTTAACCAGTGTTCCTCAGTTTATTCACATGGATAACTTTAACCAGTTAATTCTTTACAATTCTTACTTTAGTTCAGAGATTTTGTAGTGATGTGAAAATGTGTGTGTGTGTGTGTGTGTGTGTGTGTGTGTGTATAAAAGATTTTATTCATTTATTTGTCAGAGAGAGCGCATAAGCGGGGTGGGGGCAAGGGGTGGGGAACAGCAAGCAGAGGGAGAAGCAGGCTCTGTGCTGAGCCAGGAACTTGATGTAGGGCTCAATTCCAGGACCTGGAGGAGATATGACCTGAGCCGAAGGCAGATGCTTAACCATCTGAGCCACCCAAGTGCCCCAGAAGTCATCTTTTTAAAAAGAAGAAATTAGAAAAAAACATCAAAGTAATGCATGTACATGGTTTTAGGAAAATCAAGTGTTACCAAGACACATAATAAATTATCGAAAAAGAAGTGTCTCTCATTTAGTCAGCTTCTCTAGTAACAAACAACTTCAGGTTTCCAGAATCATATGATCGCAAACATTTATTTCTCACTCATGTTACCTGTTGATAGCTGTTCAGTGGGCTGTTGCAGGCCTGATCTAGCTGTTTCCCATGTCTTGTCATTCCAAGGCCTAGACTGAAACAGCAGTACCGGTTTGGGCCCACCATTACCATGGCAGACAGAAGAGGACAAGGAGGTGACAGACACATGTAGCACCTTGAAATGTTTCTGCAGAGCTGGTACACTGTTGCTTCCACTCATGTTCCAATGACTTGACCAAGAAACATAGCTGAGACTTATTGTGGGGCAGGAAATATTCTCTACATACAGGGAGGTACTGCAAAGCAAATGGCCAAGGGCAAGGATATATACATCTCGGATTATTTCCAGGGAGTTGGGGACAACCATACAATCCACAACACTGCCACGTTATTTAAATATATGTAGGGGATTTCTCACTTTGTACATTTTATCTTATTTTTTTTAAAGATTTTTTTATTTATTTACTTGAGAGAGAATGAGTGAGAGAGAGAGCACGAGTGGGGAGCCCGATGTGGAGCTCGATCCCAGGACCCTGGGACCACTACCTGAGCTGAAGGCAGACACTTAATCTATTGAGCCACCCAGGCGCCCCTCAATATATACCTTTTCAACATTGTCTAACAACTTCCTATTCTTGGTGACAAGTTTTTGCCTCCAACACTGCCCTCACCTTCCTATTCTTCATACCCCCCCACACACCCCTCTAATACATAGTAACATTACTACTTTCAGGTAAATCTATGCTGGCATCAGTGTGACTATGCACATGTTATTCACTGACAAGCCAGTTAGCGTACTATAATTGTTTCTTTTTCCTTTGTACAGCTCTTTCCTTTTCTCTTAAGTTAAAGATTACACTTTTTTGTTTGCAATATTTAAAAATATATGTATTCTTTTTTGATTAATTTATTTATTTGAGAGAGAGAGAAAGAGAAGGGGAATGGGAAGAAAGAGAGGGAGAGAGAGAATCTCAAGCAGACTCTATGTCAAGTGTGGAGTCTAATGTGGGGCTTGATCTCCCAACCCTGAGGTCATGAACTGAGATGAAGCCAAGAGTCTGATGCTTAACCAACTGAACCTCTGAGGAAAAAATATATGTATCCTTAATTCTTTTTGCAAGTCCCCTCAGCTCTCATGTAGTGTAGCATCTCAAATCCTTTTACCTAGAGCCCTCCTTCTAGGTCTCCTCTTTGGAGCTCTTTTGTCCTCTTGATCTGGATTGATGCTCTCTAGGTCTGATGTTTAGTCGGCATCCTGAAGTTTCTCTTCCTCACTCTTCTACGTTAGAGCCTCTGTTGGTTAGTGCCTGTGCTTTCCTCTTTCTCGGTTTCCTCTCAGTTTACTAGAGCACATCCTCCTTTAGCTTCTGTGAAAGGGTGTGAGAGATATCTTTTCTGAATCCTTGCATGATTCTTGTTTTTTGTTTGGTTTGGTTTTCAATTTCTGAAAACTAATAGGATGCTTTCCTTATCCCAAGCTCTAAAATATTACAAGTACCTCATCTCATAAGTACAACTTAAATGGGTAACAGAGTTCAATGTATAAGCTAAAACTTTAAAACTTCCAGATAAAACACAGGAGAAAATTTTGTGACATTATGTTAAGGAAATGGTTTAGACTCAGAAACACAGACAATAAAAGAAGAAAAACAAATACATTAGACATTATGAAAATTAAAATGTTTCCATTTTGGAAGTCACCATTAAGAAAATGAAAAAGAAAGACAGAATGGAAGAAAATGTTTTCAGTACATATATCTGACACAGGACTTGTACCCGTGCAGAAAACTCTTTCAATTCAATAAGAAGAGGACAGTTAACATAATTTAAAAATTTGATAAAAGATTTAAACACATAGTTCATATAAGAAAATACATGAATGATGAATAGGCATGAGAAAAGATGCTCACTCGTTAGTCATCAGGAATGAAAAACTATAATGTGATAGCAGCCCATATGTATGAGAATGGCTGAAATCAAACAGATTTACAGTACAAATACATTACAAGAATGTGGGGCCACATAAAAGCTCATAGAGTGAAATTGATTGGGAGTTTTGTTAAAAGTTAAACTTTTACTATATGACTCAGCCATTCCTCTCAGTATCTATTCAAGAGAAACAAAAAAATATTCCATATAAGCCGTATACACAAATATATTTATATCTTTATTTGTAGTAGCCCCAAACTAGAAACATCATAAATGTCCATCGGTGAATGCCTACATAAACAAAATGTGGTATATCCACACAGGAAAACATTTCTCAGCAATAAAAAGGAATGGAATATTGATCCATATAATAACCCCAATGAATTCTAGTCATTATGTTTAGACTGAAAGAAGCCAAGCACTGAAGAATATATATGATTCCATTTATAATTCTAGAAAATGCGAACTATAGTGACAGAAAGCAATTCTTTAGTTTTCCTGTGGCTGAAGGTGGAGGGAACATCTCTCTACTGCAGGAGTGCATGGGGAAACTTGTGGTATGTAAAGATATTCGTATCTTTATTATGGTGGTATGTCATGGATATATGCATATGCCAAGACTAATCAGATTATACACATTTGAGTGGGTGTAGTTTATTGTACTTAAATTATATCTCAGTAAAGTTGATAAAGTGAGAATAAGTTTGCATACATGCAGGAATTTATTAATAACAATGAGTAGACATCATGGTCACCGACTTGTCATCTTCAGAAATTCTCATTAGATAATAGAGATTGTATTGCCAAGAGAATGATGCATTCATTGTGTAATTGGTTCCACATAATTCATTTTAAAGCATTTTATGTTACAGATTTAGTAACTCTTGAGCTAAAATTATGTTTTGCATATGGACCATGTTATGTAATATGTATATATATTTCTCTAATTGTAAGTATATTGAGTTAATATAATAATTATTTATATAGGTCTTGGATAGCAATCTCTTAAATATAGAATTTGATCTACATTCTTATATACTACAAGGTACAAGTTCTGAAAATTTTTAAATATACAATAAACAAAATTTTTATGATATTTATGACACAATTAGAGATTTAAGCCCTGATATGATAGTTAATGTTAAAGAAATTATTAATATTTTCTAGATGTAATTGGGCTATTATTATAAAAAGTCCTTATCTTTTAGAAATACATACTTAAATCATATAATATCTGATATTTCCTTCAAAGTAATACCAGAGAGGGGAAGTGGGTGAGATCATGGGTGAAACAAGATTGCTTATAACGTGATAATTACTAAAGCTGGATGGTGGGTGCAAGTACCTGGGGGTGGGAAGAGGGCTTATGTTTTTCTATTTATATTTGTATGTGTTCACAATACTCTATGATAAAAGATGTATAGATCTTCTAAGTTAGGGTCTAAGTTATAATTACATAAGGAAATATTTGTGATCTATTTTTAAGTTGAAGAAAATTTTGCAGGCTCCAAAACAGGATGTTTACATATACCTGTTTTTGAGTTTTATAAAAAGTAAATTTATGTGCATTGTGTGTTTAGAGTTCTGTGTTTGTGTGTGTGTAGAGTAAAAACCTGGAAGGATATACATTATAATTTAAATCCCCATAATTTTCAGAAATAGCTTTGTGGTAATTGAGAGTCTTTTTTTTAATAAAAAGGATTGAATATGTTTGCTTTAATATAGTAACAGTACAGTGAGTATAAAATTTCATTGTAAAAGATTTTATTATGCTTCATTATTTGATTATTTGTTTACTATTTATTTTGGTTAGACCTCAGTGTTTAGCACACTACTTGGCACTTGGTAGGCCCTCAACCATAGTATTCAATGGATAAAATTAGGGTTGATATTTACAAATTTTAAGAAGTTCTGACTTTTCCTTATTTTCTTTGAAGAACATGTATTATTTTTTAAAATCAGAAATTCACTAGGAAAAAGTGGACAGTTTTTGATTTCTTTTAAGTTTCTATCTTCTCTTGAGATGTAAGAAACAAATATCCTCCTTAAAACTTCCTATGAAATCTGAAATATAGATCTTTGTTCAGCATCTTTTTTTATTTTTGTTTTTTCTAGTTTCATCTCTCGAACATCTTTAAATAAAGAAGTGGTTATAAACGGTAAGAACTGTATTTGCCGGTATGATTCCTTGAAGGGTTGAGGAAAAGGGTGTTGTTTGTGTTGGGCTTCTCTGAATATGGTGATTGGAGCAGGAGTATTTCATGTAAAAATCTCTTAAACTGGTGTATTCTAAGGTTATGAGCCAGAAGAGGCCCAAGCCTCGTATATTTTATAGTGCTTGCATTTTAGTATCATTCAGGTACATTAATCAATCAGTGACATTTAGCCTTTGTATTCATATCATTTATTTGACAGATAAGCAGAGTAATGGAGATGTGAACCCAATCCAGAATTTCACAACAGTACCAATCACTCAGGTAAGAATATATTAGAAAACTAGGTTGTATCTTTAAAAAAAATTTTTTTAAACACAATTGAATTAGGTCAGAAAAAATGTGAAAATATAAATAATAATTTTTTAATAACTAACATTCTTGCTTAAGCTTTGGGGGGAGAATGGTTTATGGTAGTCTTCTAGTAAATAAAAAACTAAAGTTTTACTTGCTCTTGTGTATTTTCATTACAATATTCAGTTTCGCTTTTGTTGCTGTCCAGAGAGGATCACTATAGTGAGAGTTTATCTTTGGTTACTGGTAAGCTTGGATTGCTACTACCCCTTTAATTTCTCTTTTAGCTGTACTTATATTGGAGTAATTGGTATGGAATAGTTGATCTAGGTAAGTGGATTTTCTTTCAGATATCTGTGACTTCAATAATGAAGTGCATTGTCTCAGATTTCGTAAGACGAAGAATGATGTTAGAAGACCCTGCTAGTTTTTATATATTCCATGATCTGGAGCTGCACTGTCCAAGGCAATAGCCACTAGCCACATGGGGCTATTTAAATTTAAATTCAAATGAAGTAATGTTAAGTGAAATTAAAAATTAATCTGAGTTGCACTGCCTCCATTTCCAGTACCATAATAGCTACAGAAGTCAGTGGCTGCTGCACAGGACAGTGCAGATACAGACTATCTAATTTTGCAGAATGTTCTGTTGGATATTAGTGGTCTGGAGAATTAGGCTTGATATCTAGAAACCTCTTGTTATGTTTGTTTGCATGTTAATTTCTTAATTTTAAAATCTTGCCTTATTTGGGTACTTATTTCCTGAAGAGATAAATTACTGCCATTAGTTCATGGCATGGTGAATTTTTGTTTTTAATTACTAGACTTTTTTTTTTTTTGAGTAGTCTTAAAAGGGTTTACAGAAGAAATTGAACAAAATAGGAGATTCCCATATGGTCCCTCAATCCCTCCCCCTCCAGTTTCCCCTTTGTTTAACATCTTGTGTTATTGTGGTATATTTCTTAAAGTCAAGGAACAAATATTGATACAATATTATTAAGTAAGGACCATGGTTTACATTCGGATTCACTCTTCGTGTTGTATATTTTGTGGGTTTTAACAAACGTATGATGATATCTGCCTACCAGTATGGTATTTTACAGAATTATACTTTTGTGGCCTTAAAGATCTGTGTCCCACCTATTCATCCCCATTATCTCTCCCAGCCTGGTAACTTTTTGAAGTCTATATTGCTATTATTATTATTTGTAAAGTTGGCTTTTTTTTTTTTTTTTTTAACAATTTAGTCGTTTCCAATTTGGGTGCTTTGTAGAAGCACCCAAAGTGTAGGTAGTATAGGTAGATTCGTATACCTTTCAGGTATACCTATCAGTTTAGGCTTGTTAAATGATTAAGATGGGCCCACCTATCATCTCCTTTGTCTCACAGTAGCATGGACTCTGGAGTGAGAGAGATAAAAGTTTCAACAGGTTGTAAATAAGTCTTTTTGCTCCAAGAAGCGTATTGTGCCGTGGAAAAAAACCTGTCTCTTAAACTTTGTTTGTTTGGTTAACTAGACTCTCAGCTACACTCTGAGCAGACATGGACATTTAGAAAAAGAACCTTGGAATGCATTCAGCCACCATAGCCCAGTTAATGTCTCCATGGATGGAATTCCCTGCATTCTTTTCTGGGCCAAAGGAATAACAATAAAATTTAAGAATCAGACCTGGCTGGACCTTACAGATGAAGCTTTTGGCCAGAAGACAACAGTGGACATTAGCAACTCAAACTGCAGTGAAGAAAGTGCCATGTAAGTTGACTGCTTTGCTTGAGGAGACCCTTAGAGCAATTGTAGTCTGTTAACTGGGAAGCCAAGTTTTCTGACATTTCAGAAAACTGAAGTAGGTTCCTCTATAGTGAACTTGAAACACATCTCTGATGAAATGTTTAATGTCTAAAATGAAAGAAAAAAATCAGAAATTAATTTAAAAAAACTTTTCCCCAAGCAATTCTCCTGTTAAAATACCTTGAGGAAAATCAGGGTTGTGAAAGTGAAGGTTTTCCAAATTCATTCTGAAAAATGAACAGGATTCCAGGCTTGGTATCAACTCCAAATGTGAGATGTCCAATGACTTTTGTCCTAGCAGGAAGAACTCATGTATCATGCAGCAGAGTCATACATTTTCTAGTGGGTAAAAAAAGATAAGGCTGATTGTAGCCAGGGCAGATTTCTGCTTCTAGGGAGTGTTCTGAAATAGTGGAACGTTGCCAGTTTGCAAATGTACAAGGGTACCTTTGAATGGCTGTATTTCAGAGAATTCTTTAGGACATTTGTTCAAAATGATTTTAATAATTTCTTTTGATTTGAGATAAGCAGATTAAAAAATATCCCTTTTGAAGAGGAAATCAATTTCCAGTACCTTTCTCTGCTTTCTAGTCATCCAAGCAAAAGTTTTTGCTTATATTTGTTTTGGTCGAGGAGTAAGTCTGGCATATCCCACTTGCTTTCTGTAACTCTTGCTTTCAACATTTGCTGGTATAATAAAAGCTTTTGGAAGATTGTCTGCATTTGTCCTGGCTGGTTTAGATGGGCAGAATGCTTTGTATATTCTCTGTGTGTGTGTGTGTATTCATTTTATATACTTTGGCTGGAAATACTTTTTTACTACTGAACTTTACTTTTCATTTAAAAATTTTTGATGATGGGTAAAAATGGATTGTATTAATATTACAAGTTTTAGTAAGTATCTTGCTCTTCAGAATGATTATCTCTTATTAGGAAATTAGGAAATTATAAGTATAAGAATCCGGAGTCCTCCCAGATTTGTTTATTCTGTGGCAACACAGACTACCAGAGACTCCAGCACTCCTGAGCGTTTAGGACTTTATCCTTGGGCTCTAATTAATTCCCTACAGGGCTCTTTATTTGTGGTCAGCTGCCTGGAGAGAGCCTGATTGCCTGGGGATCATCTTGCCTGTCTGTGGCTGACTGGCCTGCCTTGATTCCATTTATTCTTACCCCAGGATATTTGTGGGGAAGATCAGAGCACCACAGTTTTTTGTTTTTGTTTTTGTTTTTGCTGGGCTTTAGAAATCTTAATGATCACTGGGAACTCAGAGACCGAGAGAATGAAAAGTTGGCTTCTAGTGCCAGTTCTGCCAGTGAGCTTTGTGACTTTACAGATAGGAGACACCATAGGATCATCATCTATGAATGGAGATGATGGCATTTATTAGTTGTAATAGGCCTGAAGCATTTGCCTTGGGCCGGGCACAATATCTGTTATTCCTCACAATACTATTGAGTCACAGACTGTTACCATCCAAAAGCAAGGCACGTAGAGGTTAAGGAATTTGATAAGATCATACAACTTATTTGGTAATAGAGCTGGGACCTAAAGTTCATATTTTTTTTTCTTTTAAGATTTTATTTATTTATTTGACAGAGATCACAAGTAGGCAGAGAGGCAGGCAGAGAGAGAGGGGAAGCAGGCTCCCCACCGAGCAGAGAGCCCGATGCGGGGCTCATCCCAGGATCCTGGGATCATGACCTGAGCTGAAGGCAGAGGCTTTAACCCACTGAACCACCCAGGTGCCCCTAAAATTAGTCTTTAACAATGATGTTTTACATCCTCTTTCTTGGCTCTGTCTCATTGCATTGTGAAAATCAAATTGGGAAATGGATGCATGAGAACTTTGAGAACTCTTCAAGTGCTATGCAAAGTAATAATATTATCTTCCTAACATACTAATGATAACTGGAGTAAAATAGTGCCTATGCCTTGTTACCTGGTGAAGGGACCTAGGGAAGCTTTGGTTTTCAGGATGCACAAAGGAATGATTGGTGGGACCTGATCTTCTGCTTGGTTAGCATCTACATATTCTACTAGGATGCGTCCTGAGTGAGCAACATCTACCTCCTGGAGTCCTGTCCAGGCGAGTGTGCGGACATCCTGGACAGCCCACCCATGGGGATGAATGGAAGGCTTTCCAGTACATGAGGCATGCAGGGACCAGATACTGAGACCATCCCTCATTCCTGTGAATCATGGATGTTAGTGAGATGCCTTTGTTCTGCTGGCAAGGAAATCTTATATTCTCAAGAACCAGGGAGGGAGTTGCTGAAAGAATAAACCCAAGTAAAGACATAACCATGTAAGGTCAAAAGCATAGATTAAAAAAAGGTGACCTCGTTTTAGTGCTTGGAAACAAAATGTTCAGGGAAAGGCAAAGTGTTGGCAGACTGATTTGCTACGGAAATCTTTCTAAATAGTGAAAGCCCTACAAACAGAGCATAATACGAGCATCTGGGGGTATTTTGAACTTAGGCAATTATGGCCTGAATAATTCACAGTCTGTTTTAAACGTGGGAGGTTGGGACACTTGGAAGAGTAAAAGCAGGTCTCTTTTGAGTGACTTGCTAGATTGTATTTCTCCTTCGTGTTCCCAGGTTATGGTGCAGTGCCTGGCACTTAGGAGAGTCTCACTGAATGGTTGTTGAATTTGCTGTGTTGAAATCAGGCACGTTCTTTACTCTGCAGCAGAGCATGTTAGCAGCTTTCACGGAGATCATGACTGCTGGAGAAAGCTCTTGGAGTACCACAAGCTTAGAGGCCATGGAGCTGCTCCATCAGGAAAAGGGGACAGCAGTTAGGTGGATTCAGTATGGCCTTGCTTTGAGGTTTAGTTCGTCAGCTACACAGTCATTTTATGGATAGCCAAGCTATTCTTATTCTTTGGAAGAAGTAGAGAAATTTCTGTTAAAGTTAGTGACCAGTCAAATTTGTAAAATACTATTCAAGAAAGAAATTTTATTTCATTAAAGTATTTTAAGTACTTTGTAATAGACTATGAGAATATTCTTAGAGAAAGGCCTTTTTGGAGACTTGCTTTACTGAATAAATCAGCTTATAAAATGTTCATAAATGGGGGCATCTGGTTGGCTCAGTGGGTTAAAGCCTCTGCCTTCGGCTCAGGTCATGATCCCAGGGTCCTGGGATCGAGCCCCACATCGGGCTCTCTGCTCAGCAGGGAGCCTGCTTCCTCCTCTCTCTCTCTGCCTGCTTCTCTGCCTACTTGTGACCTCTGTCTATCAAATAAATAAATAAAATCTTTAAAAAAAAAAGTTCATAAATGAATGCTTCTAATGTATCTAAGCTTACAGTGTTAGGAAATAGAGATAATTCTCTTAGTAACTTTATCTGGTTTATTTTATAAATATACAAAATATTCCCCTTTCCCCATAAATAGTATGATAATTAATTTCAGCTCAATCACTGACATTTCTATTTCTTGATAGGTAGGACCAAACTAATGAGATTACATTTGTGTGATATTGTTTCCAAGCTTGTAATTGAGCATTTATGGTTATACACTTTTGCTTTTTTGGTTTTATAATGTATGTTGAGGTGTTATAAATTCTGTACATTATAATGTCACATAGCTGCATATCCTTTCTGTATTTAAAATTTTCACATTTTCTCATTTCAATTCTTTAGCTTTTTCTCATTCTTATTTTTCAACCTTACTGAAATATTAATAAAATACACTAAACTGCACATATTTAAAGTACACAGTTTGATCAGTTTTGACATATTTGTACACCCACAAAACCATTACTACGATCAAAACAACAAGCATTTTCATCACCCTAAGAAGTTTCCTTGTGCCCTTTGTAATCTTTCCCTCCTGCCACTCCCAGGTCACCCCTCCAGGTAACCACTGGTCTGCTTTGTATAGTTATAGGTGAGTGTGCGTTTTCTAGAATTTTATATAAATATAATCATATAGGGGCACCTGGGTGGCTCAGTTGGTTAAATGTCTGACTCTTGGTTTTGGCTCAGGTCGTGATCTTGAGGTTGTGGGACTGAGCCCTGCTTGTGCTCAGTGCAGAGTCTGCTTCAGATTCTTTCTCCTTCTCCCTCTGCCCCTCCCTGCTCTCATACACTCTCTCCAAAATGTATAAATAAAATCTTTAATAAATAAGTAAATAAATATAGTCATATGGTGTATACTCTTTCATTCTGGCTTCTTTCACTTAACATGATATTTTGATATTCTTCTACATTGTTACACATATCAAAGTCAAAGTGATGTTTCTTTTTAACTGCTGAGTAGTAAGTATTCAATTATATGGATAGACTACAACTTATTTATCCCTCCACCTCTTTTTTTTTAATTTAATTAATTTATTTGAGAGAGAGTGAAACAGTGAGAGAGGGGGGAGGGTCAAAGGGAAAAGCAGACTCCCCACTGAGCAGCGAGCCCATTGCGGGACTCCGTTCTGGGACTCCAGGATCTTGACCTGAGCCGAAGGCAGTTACCCAACCAACTCACCCACCCAAGTGCCTATCCGTCCACCTCTTGGAAATTTGGTTTTGCCTGCGATTTTAGATAGCTTTCTAAGGAAAGTTGCTTTAAACATTCATGTACAAGTTTTTGTAGGAGTGTATATTTTCCTTTTTCTTAAATACCTGCGAGTAGAATGGCTAGATCATATGGTATGTGTATGTTTAGCTTTTTAAGAAACTGCCAAATTGTTTTTTTAAAGTCATTGTATCAGTTACCTTTCCACTAGCATTGTATGAGGAGGTTCGATTTGCTTTACATTCTTGCTGACACTTGGTATGGTCAATGATTGTAAGGGAAATATTTTTGTTTCTTCATGGTTAGTAATTTCTGAACAAATTTGACTGGGACTTGGGTTAAAAAATAAGCCTTGGAGTTAGTAAGAGATTAACCACCTTAGATGAATGTGTTTACCTGTCAAAGAGTAATGAACCTCAGAACCATGGAAACATTCCAGTGCTTGGAAACATACAGAGGCTACTTGCTTTCTTCTTAGAGACAAATTTACATTCACCTTTATGGTAAACTATTTATTCCCATCCAAAGGCTGATAAAACTCATCAGCTTACATTGTGAGGTAGGTACCTAGTACTCTTTTCTTTTGGCATGCCAAGGAAAATCTTTGACACTAAGGAAGCAAGTGTTTCCCTCTCTCAAAGGGAACCACTGTCTCTCTCTTACATAAACTCCCAGACTCACAATTTTGGTGTTCCTCACTTATATTACAAATCGCAGTATGAACAGGATGACATCTGACTCTCATCATGTTGCCCAGGCACAAGAATTGGGTTAAAAGGGGAATCAATGTGGTTATTGCTATGAATTGGTAATACCCTGTCTCATATCCAGGAAATCTTGTGTTGACTTTCAGAAAAGTGTGAATAATGTGGATATTAATAGCTTAAGAATAGGTTCTTTTTTGAGAGCAAGAATGTGGGGAAAGGACAGAGGGAGAGAGAGAATCCCAAGCAAGCCCCTTTCCCATTGCGGAGCCTGACACAGGGCTTGATCTCACGACCCTGAGATTCCCACCTGAGTGGAAACCAAGAGTTGGATGCTCAACCGACTCAGCCACCCAGGCACCCCAAGAGTAGGTTCTTAAAAAAAAAAGTTTTAATTATTTCAATTACTGTACCATGATGCTTTTATCTTATTGTGGTTTTATTTTATATTTTATTGATAACTAAGGATGCTGAGCATTTTTTCATGTATTTATTAGCTATATGTATATCTCCCTTTGTGGAGTGCTTGTCTTTTCACTATTTTTAAGCTAAGTTGTTTTCTTATTATTGAGTTGTTAGTTAATTATATTCTGGATACCAGTAGTTAGTTAATTATATTCTGGATACTAGTTCTTTGTCTATATGTATTGTGGAAATATTTTCCCTTGTTATTTGGCTAAGATTTTTGTTTTCTTAACACTGTCTTTTGAAGAGTAAAAATTCTGAATTTAAGGAAGTCCAGTATATCAATTTTTCCTTTATAGTTCATACTTTTATATTTTTTAGTTCTTTTAAATTAACATATAATGTATTATTGTTTTCAGAGGCAGAGGTCAGTGATTCATTAGTCTTATATGACACCCAGTGCTTATTACATCACATGTCCTCCTTAACGTCCATCACCCAGTTATCTCATCCGTCCACCCCCATCCCCTCTAGCACCCCTCAGTTTGTTTCCTATGATTAAGAGTCTCTTATGGTTCTATATTTTTTCAAGAAACTATTGGCTGGTTCAAGATTGTAAAATTGCTATATGTTTATTCTGTAAGTTTTATTATTTCAGTTATATTTTGAGGTAATTTATTAGTGTACTATGAAGTAAAGGTTATTTCTGTTCTGATGGACTGTGTTGTTTCTGTTTTCTTAGTTTGTCTCTGAAGTTTGGTGATGCTGAAATTCCCAAAGTTCTTGATATAAGGTAGGTGTGGATACAACTTTGAAGTGTCATAGGTTAGCCCTTCACATTGGCTCCAAGTAATTTATTCATTCAACATGTAGTATCAAGGGCCCACTATGTGCCAAGCAGTGATGTGTGAAATGCCACATATAACTAACTACACAGAGTCAGTAATATTATAGTGGGATCCTATAGGAATGATTTCTTTAGTTTCTACCAAAGCATCTATATCGATTTTTTCTTCTTCAGTTAGGTCTTAGAAATCACATGAACCTGAAAGTGTGGTACTCTTTTCCTCTGAGCAAAGAATTATGTAAAGCTCCAAAACCGAATCTCTGGTTTGAAGTTATTTTCTATATCGTGGCTTACAATGAATCACACATATCACTTCATAATAGCAAATAAAGTCTCTGTAGCTGAATTTCCCAGCAGACAATCCAGGCCTCCATTTTGCTGTGTTTATGTCTGGAAGAATGCATCTGCCAACAGTGGTTTATTCAAGTAGTTGGGAACTCCTCCAGGAGTGGGGGATGACTTCAAGGCATTACATTTTTTTTCTTATAAAAATAAAATGTTTCCGTTCCTATAGGACCAACCTTTTAGTGGAGATAAACAGCTGTGTCTTTAACATTACTTGAAAAAGCAGCAGGATGTGCTAGGACAGTCTTTCCTAAGCTGTGTTCTATGGAACACTTATGCTATGTGAAAATATTTATAAGATTCCCCAGGGAAGGGGTTCTCTGGTCAAATGTGTTTGAGAAAAACTTCATACCATGTTCTTCTCTTAGAGATTCACAGTATTAATTTGTATATTAAAGTAACTGTGAAGACATGCTTTTAAGGAAGATTGCAGCACTTGGTGACTTTAATGAGCCTCTCATTTCCTATGTTTATTTTGGAAAGCTCTTTCCTCAGAATATTTGCCTATATTTCATGGAACCACTATTGTTTCACTGGTCATAATTTAGAAAATACATGTCCTCATCTTTTAGATAAAATTTATAAGGAAAATAGAATCCCACAAGGTGAGGAAACATATACAAACAAAAATATACATATCTGTTTGATATAGGAATGAGTAGTTTTTATTCAGCTAGCACTTTTTTTCCTCAAAAGGAAAATGGCTTTATTATTTTTTTTCTGATGATAAAGGAATGTGGTAGATGCTCTCAGTACCCCATCTATATCACTTTGAGCTTTTCCATTTGAGAGCACTGTAGTCTACCAGCTCAACTTTGAACTGTCAGCTTTTCTTTGCCTAAAAGCTTTCTTTAGCCAAAGGGGTACACTGCCTCCCATCCCCACCCCAGCAACTCTGAACCAATGACTGAACGAAGTGTATAAATACCCCAGATCCCTCACCCAAGGGTCAGATAACAGGCATGTGAACTACCCTCATTCCCAATATACCCCATGAGTGTCAAACCCCACTTGCCCACAGTGGAAACTTGCTTAATAATGTGTCCTTTTGGAGTATCTTCCATTCTTCTGTCATTTTTCTTTTCCCCATTTGACATATTTTGAATTCCTAAATAAATTTGGGACTACCTCCCCCAAATACTTCCTTCTCTTCACATCATTGTCTCAGGGTCTGGTCTCTTGGAGCCCGATACATGACCAGAAAAGAAAACAAAACAAAACAAAAAATCAGAAAATACTTCTCTTTAAAAAGAACTTGAAAATCATTCATAATTTAACCAGCATTTTAATCATTATTAACATTTTATCTCTGTCCTTCCTGGATTTTTTTTTCTATGCAATTACACATTTGTTTGTTTTTTTAATGAAAAAAAATGATCATGGCATATTGTAACTTTATTATTGCTGGGGAATATTCCATTCTAAAATGGCTAAGAGTAAAGGCTGTAGTCTCAAATTGGATTCGGAGCCCAGGTCCAATACTCAATGTCCAAGTAGACTTGCACAAGCCATTTATTTAACCCCTCTGTGTTTTGATTCCTCCCCTGTGAAATGAGGATAATAATAGTGTCTACTTCATGTTAAAAAAAAATACACATAAAGAACATAGAAGGGTGCTTGATGCAGTAAAAGCTTTCTTTGGGTTATTTTTGACCATTATTTATTTAGCTAATTCTATATTAGTTTAGAACTTAGTTTTTTTCAACTTTTTTTGCAATAATAAAATCAAGTTTTGATTTTAAAAATTAAAATATAAAAGCTTTTTGTGTTTTTCTTTTCGAAGGAATTTGTACTATTCACTTTTGGGGTCTGCCCTATCATTTGCTTTCTTTCATACCTATTATCAGACAGGTTTAGCACTAGATGTAAACTCTCTGAGCCAGTTCTCCTACGTGACAAAAGAGGGTGCTATTGCACTGCTCATAGATGATTTCCTGTGTCTGCAAATATCAGAGTGCTTTAGGAGTAATACTGTTTGTAACCATTTTCAGATTCACCCTTACCAATTACAACAAGTTGTACCTCCAGAGCTGGTTTAGTCTGCAGCAAGTTGAGATTATTTTCAATAATTCAGTCCAAGCAACTTTTAATGCAACTGGCATATACGCTCCGTCGAGTTATTCCTACCATTGCCAGCGTGTCAGCAGCCTGCAGCGGTATGATGCCCTCTTGTTGCCCAGCTACACAGATGATATGTCAAGCCTGTGGGAGGTCACATTTGTTGATTTCCAGGTAATAAACTAAAACATATGCTCAGTGTACCTGTCTGTTTGGTGCCAAAGAAATCCAGTGTTGGGAAACACCTGAAATATAGATGTTTAAGGAAAAGAGAGGAATGGATACCTTTAAAATAATATTGGTATTTTTTCTTTATCTTTTAAGTCATGAAATGGAATAGGATAGAATATTCCTCTCCCTGTGCACTACCCACACTCTATGCACTGCCTCCCACCCCCCCCCGACTTGCTTTTACATTCACATTTATGTAGACACTAATAATTATCAATGAGGAATGCCAGCAATCTAAACTGGAGGGAAGCTGTGGCATGAAGCCCAGTGACTGACACTTCCTGGAGTGAGAGGCCCTTCTGGGGAGAGGAACTGTTGGATAATTATTTTATTTCCTTCAGGGAGTGGAGCAGTGATCCTATCAGGACAGATAAGCAGTACATCTGTAGCCTGAGTGACAGCTTTGGCAGCACAGGAATGGAACTGTCAGCCAAGAAGTAAAAATATCCCAGAGATCCTCTTGAAAGTATTTGAGGAAAGGCATGGGGGCATTAGACATTTCTTTTCACCACCAGAATCTCAGGCAGAGAGAGACGTCGGTCAACTTCCTCTGTCCTGTTAACCTGTGAAGAGAGCTTCACTCATTCTTCTAACTCACTGCAATAGGCATGGTTTTGCATGTCCCTCTTATGGGCACTTCCCAATCTTTTCCAAATGTAAATGTATTTACTTCCTCTTCCCTTCAGCTTGGAGAGGTGTGCAGCTTGGGGTAGGGAAAGAGCTTGCATTTTGGAGTTTGAAAGAAAGACTTGGTTTCAAACTGCTTGTCAGCTACCTGGGTAAACTACTTCACCCTCTTGATTTCTGGCCTTTCTTTTATGGAGGTAAAGTCATGGCCTTACTGTGTGGCAACAGCCAGGACTGTGTCAGGCATGGATTACCAGTAACTACTACTTATGAGTGCCCCTCCATCCTGTGTGTCAACACTCTTGTGGTTATTTTACACACTTTGTCTTTAAAAGTTATCATAATGTTGCAGGATTGCTGTCATTATCCCTGTTTTAAAAATGGGATGACTGAAGCTTTGATGATTACATAATTTTTCAAAGTGATATATCTGGTAAATGGTAGAAGCAGATTTTGAATTCTGTACTGTCTGACTTCAGAGGCACTTTATAATGTATATAATGTATATTTATCAATATTTTAAAAGTACATATTATTATAATTTTATATATATATTATATATTATAATGTAAATTATAATATATAATATATATTATATATATAATTATTATACATATTTTTATCATACATATTTCTCTCCCTTGCATTTTAAAAAGAGAAGCAGGCACAAAGTAATATTGAAAACAAGGAATAATTCACACAAAATCTTGCCTGATTGAGAGGAACTGACTGATTTATATCTCTTTCAGAAATGATTTAGGGTGATTTAGAGAAACACTGGAAGAAAACAGACTTTGAAAAATGCACAAACCACTTCACACCCATTAGGATGGTTATTATTAAAAACAAACAAACAAACAAACAAACAAATAAAAACAAGCAAACCCAGAACAGAAAATAACAAATGTTGGCAAGGATGTGGAGAAATTAGAACCCTTGTACATTGCTGGTGGGAATTGAAAATGGTGTAGCTGTTATGGAAAATGGTATGGTGGTAGGTCCTCAAAAAATTAAACCTAGACTTAACATGTGATTCTGGGTATATACCTAAAAGACTTGGAAGCAGGGACTTGAATAGATATTTGTATACCCATGTTAATAGCAGCATTATTGACAATAACCAAAAGATGAAAACAACCTAAATGTTCATTGATGGATGCATGGAAAAGGCTAGTGTATATGTGCAGTGGAATATTATGCAGACCTGAAAAGGGAGGAAATTCAGATACAGGCAACAGAACGAATGAACTTTGATACTGTGCTCAGTGAAATAAAGCAGACACCACAGGACAAATATTTGTATGAATTCACTTATATGAAATATCTACAGTAGTCAGATTTGGGAGACAAAAATTGGAATGGTGTTGTCAGGGAGCTGGGAGAAGAGGGGCAGGAGGAATTGGTGTTTAATGGACTTAAAGTTCACAAGATGAAAAGTTCTAGAGGTGGATGAAGGTGATGGTTACACAATAACATGAATGTACTTAATGTCACTAAACTGTACACCTAAAAATGGTTAAGTTGGCAATTTTTTTTGTTATGTATATTTTATAATAAAAATATTTTAAAAATGGGCAAAGACACGTGGCTTAAGAAAAACAAAGGAAGAAAAGATCAATTAGAGCCACCAGTGAGGTTGGTACACAAAACTGCAAGACCTTCTGTCTGATCTGGCTGGAAGTGGCACAGTGATTTGGCCGTGAAGCTTTGGAACATCCACTATAAGAAAGAATTGCTCATCTACATGTGCTTGGGGTTCAAAAGACTGTTGGAAGCATGCTTGTGGGGAGTACATCCATCGCTGGTAGGGTTGTGCCAGTATCTGTGACAGCAGCCTTACAGCGAACACAGCCATGGATGTCACAGGTGGGCCTTATTAAAACACCTTTGCTATAAGCACATAGTGGAGTGCAAGGTCAGTCCACGTAAGATGTGGTAGTGATAGTGATTCAGGTGTGTATATACCAAAGGCTGCATTCCACGTAGGTGGCTTTGCCCATCTGATTTATTCTAAGAAGAAAGTAGTGTGATGTCACATGCATGGCAAACTGAGATGCCTTTGGTGGGCCATCTGAGGACTGGTAAAGTGTAACCAGCATCACAAAGAGTATGTTTATTCGACTCTAATTATTTAATTTTTACTTCTTAAGAATGTTGGCTGTGTTGTTGGGTCTTCAGTTTTTCAATGGAAGCTAGAAGTCTGGATTTTAATAGGAAATTCTCAGGATGTCCAAAACCTTGGGGCTAACAAAACTCGCCGATGGGCTAGGTACAGGGTGTTTACAACCACTAGTCCAGAAAATGGATGGACAAGTTACCCTTTAGGCATTCTCCACAGATACTTTTCTCAACCAAGTTTTAAGAATGAAATAACAGTCAATGTGAGGACATTCTCTTTGGCTGGAGTTGCAGCATCAGGTGAGGCCAACTTTTGTCATTCTGTCAAGAGCGTGACTCTGCAGGCACTAGTCTGAAGAGAAGGCCACTTTGCCTCCAACATAGAGGGATGGGCCAAGGACGCCAGAAGCCAGGTCAAGAGTTTCCTTTTGGAGCTGGTTTTGGATTCAGTCTAGTGCACAGACAATTGGATGGACAAGGCCTCTAGTCTATGGCTACAGGCATTTTAGCATGAAAAAATGGCAAAGCACCCACTTAAGTCATAAAAATGAGTTCTCACTAAGCACTCATGGATAATTCAGTTTTTTGATGTACCTCTGTAAAACCAACCAGGTGACTGAGGTGATGTTGTATAGCATTCAGTTCTAAAAGCCAACTAGGTGTGGGAACTGTCTTCTACAAATGATTGCTCTCGTTTAGAGTAGTTCCCCTGTAGCTCAGTTTCTTTCATTGTGACCGTATTTGGATACAGAGCCTGTTGTCCCTTTCAGCCTCTACTAGTTCCAAGTATTTGAGCCACTTCGTTCACACATGTACGAAAGCTCTTCTTTCCATTCTCTGGGCAGGATGCAAATAGGGGCTGGTATGCAGCTCTTCCAAAAGCAGTACAAGTATGTATGGTACAACTGATAAAGAGTGGGTGGTGGTGTCGGACTTGTAGAGTTGTAAACTGATAAGTGAAGCCAGACTGCCTGGGTTTGAATTATAATTTCAGTGCACTTAAATAAGTGAAAAAGTAAAATGAATTGAAATATAAAATATCTTAACTGTACTTACTGCTACGGGACTCTGGGGAAGTTACTTAAATTTTCTGTGCCTCAATTTCCTCACCCATTCAATAGTAACATAATCATAGGCTCTTGTGATTTTTTAATGAGTTAAAGCAGTATCTACTACACAAAAAATCTTTGGTAGGTGTTAGCCTTTATTATCTGTATTTTGCCTCATTGGGGACTATGATAGCTTCTCTTAGGAGACTCTTCCTGTCCACTTCCTGTTAATAGAATCAAAGGCAGAGGAAGTGAGACTTAATTATTCTTTGTGAAATTTATGCTAACATTTATAAAATTTTGAGTGTACTTTGAATTTTAGAGACACCACAAAGTTATTTTTTAGATGAACTAGAATATTTCTAAGGATCAGATTAAGAGAGGTTTTACTTCAGAGACTTGAACTTCATGAGCCTCTTAATTATGATAACCATATATCTCAGAGTATCTGGGTCAGTCTTGATTGAAAATTGTTTCATTGTCCCCGTAAGCACACTCACATTTGTTAGATCATTTGCTCAAATTAGTCAGTAAGTAGAACTTACTACCCATTGTCTTAAATTTGGTTAATTAGGAGTCCAGAACCCTCAGCACAGGTGCAAAGTAGATCTTAGGAGAGAAAGATTATGTCACTTGAGCTCTTTGTCCTGACAGATCCAAGCCTTCACCATCAAGGGGAGGCAGTTTGCCAAGCCCCGAGACTGTGCCTCCTCCTTCTCGCCAGCCATTCTGATCGGCCTGGCCATGTCCCTGATCCTGCTGCTGGTGTTGGCCTACGCTCTGCACATGCTCATCTACCTGCGCTATCTGGAGCGGCACTATGATTTCCTCACCTCTCCGGCCCACTTCCCCCAGCTGAAATCTCGAGATGCAGCAGAAGAGAAGGAGTTGCTGAGGAGCCAGGGCGTCGAGTGCTATGAACTGAGAAGCCCACAGATCTGCAAAATTTATGTGTAACGGCACAGGCCCCTCTTCCTCATGAAGTCCACCATGGGCTCTGAAAGGAGTTATTTCTGTCCATCCTCTTTGACTTGTGATATAAAGTGTTTGCCTCATGGCTTGATTTAAAAAAAAAAAATGCAGAAACCACATTTTGGAGCATCCCCTGGCCTACTTAGAGAGACTTGAGACAATGAAAAAGTTGTCCCAGGAACCCCACAGAGATAAATATGATTGTTGCCCAAAAACTACTTTGAAAGCAAAAGCATATTTCAAGTTAGGAAGACAGAAAAAAACCAGTGATGCCACTTAGAGAGGGGAAAACATATTTGGTCCTTCTTGCTTGTTCCAGTTCAGATGTGATAATATGGAAATAATTCCAAGGTTATCTGGAAGTTCAGAATTTATTTTGTGAATTTGCATTTTTAGAAATTGTATCCCAATTTTTTAAATTTGTTTTAAGAAGTAGTCTTTCCCGGAGCTGTTTGGGGAAGACTCTTGTCAATATGGTAGAACACTCCGTTCAAGGGCTTTCTTGTCATTTACTTTGCTGTTCAGAGGCACCCCAGTTCGATTTGTGAAACAGGTAACAGTCTTGCAGTTTCTTTCCTATCTGGTTGTAGTGCCAAGGCTTGTCTCATTTGTCTGACTAGACCCCCATTAACTCTCCTAGGTACCAGTTGAAATAAGCAGCTGAGCTAAGAACAGTGTCCTTGCTATACAGACAGCTTCATGACAGATATCCTAAAACCTTTTCCAGTGCCATCATGTCCCTTCTTTAGTAGAAATTTTGATGCCACCATTGCTCTTCCTTTTTTTTTTTTTAAGATTTTATTTATTTATTTGACAGACAGAGATCACAGGTAGCCGGAGAGGCAGGCAGAGAGAGAGAGAGAGAGGAAAGCAGGCTCCCTGCTGAGCAGAGAGCCTGATGCGGGGCTCGATCCCAGAACCGTGGGATTATGATCTGAGCCGAAGGCAGAGGCTTTAACCCACTGAGCCACCCAGGTGACCCCCACCATTGCTCTTCTTACAGATGGATTTCTCCATAGTCCTTTCCAGTTCTTGACAGATACTAAAGATTGGCTTCCCCTGAATTTTCACCGAAGCTTCTCTAATATGCCCTGTGTGCAAAAGAGATCTTACGTGTAAAAAGTACCTTGTATTTCCCTAACTAGCATTCCACACATAACCTGCACAAAACTTAGAAAGCAGATGGGAACAATGTGGGGTAGAGGATCATGCACATAGAAATTGAATCTTCTGGGCAGCTATGGTAATGAGTTTACAATCTAGTACCATCTTTGATGCCAAGTGTGAATGACAGTGATTGGGGTTTCTGATAAAACAGTCTTACGTTGGACATTTCTTTTGGCTGCATTACTCTTGTCTGTGACTATAGGTTTGGTTCCAGCCCTCTCAGAATTCCATAAGCTCCTGATACTCTATAGTGAATTTTTTGTTGTTGTTTCAATACCTGGAGTAGATTCTGTATTCTGTAATAAGAATCTTGATTCATGTGCTTATTTGTACCAAAGATAGTTATAGGGAACATACACTGAAGAATATGGGAATCTAGTATTGTTTTTTTTGGCCTTGTTTAGCTGAAAACCAAGAAGGACTCTTAGCACTAGAGAGTGGGAAACACATAGCTCACATCATTCTATAATGAAATTTTCACTGTAGTTGTTTTGAGTGTCCTTTGGTGGTATAAGTGGTTGTTGTTGGTAGACTATAAGTACTTGAAGTGTAAACATAGCTTATGGTCCAACTGGGACACTTCTGAAAGTGAAAATGTCATTAACAATTCCTAGATACAGACATAAGCAGAATGATGCCAGACAAGCTGGGATATATAGTCACCCTAATATGGGAAGACCATAGAAGTATGGTGATTGCCCTATAGGGTGATACCCTATAAGGTAAGCTGGCTCTTTCTAACTGTGCGGGAGGGCTTACAGAAAGAAAATAATAGATTAAGATTTAAAATTCACAGCTCAAGTCATGGTTAAAAAAAAAATCCAGGGAGTTTCTATGACTGTTCTACAAGGATCTCATACCTCTTATCAAGGGACTGACATAGTTGCAAATCAGACACACAGGTCTGACCCTGCAAATTGGTAAAATTTGTGGTAGGTGAAATTCACAGCCTTGCTGGATCTCTTAATGGATATGAGAACACTGATTACAAAATAGAAGAAACTTGAAATAAGAATAGTAACTTTGGGCATAATTTAGACAGCTTTAAGGATACTGAACCCATAAATTCCACCAAGTTTTTCTTGCTAGCAGAAGCAGCCCTGTGAGATGAAGCTATTCTGACCTCAGCAAAGATAGTACTGCCAGGGGGTGCCGGTTTTCCTCCATGTCTCTAAATAATTAGAATCACATTCTAGCATATCCCAGGAAAGCAACTGCAAAGTCAAATATGGGAGAATAAAAATTGGAAGGTTTTGCTAATTTATGCAACAAAAGACGGAGGGATATGTGGAGGAATGGATTCTGGAGGTACTAGCTCAGAGAGAGAAGTGTATAATTTTATATTGGGCTGAATTTTTTAATAGGTTCTCTTACCAGATTTTGGGTTAAATATTTTGGTTTGAGCAGCTGGCAGTGTTTCTAACTATTTACTCAATTGATTAAGATATGGCCTCAACAGTGACATGCACTAAATGAAATAGACCAGAAATTCACTGGTATGATATAGAGGAATAAAATAAATTTAACAACTTAGAGAATTGGAATATAGGAATGGACTTAAGCATGTCCTGCTCTCCATCCCCCAAACTATTTTCCTCTTTGAAGTCTCAGTGAACACTTATGTTGTCATAGCACTGAGCTGAAAAATACGTTGGAAACATAGCTTCAACATTTTAAAAAAGTGCTCTAGTGGCTGTCCTCTGTATGCTATGGATGAAGGCAGGGAATGCTATCCTTGATTCCTTAATGTCAGTGGGAATGCCTAGATCCTGGAGTGGCAGAGGTCAGATAGCATAACAATGTTAAGGGGCTATAGGGCAGGAATGTTAACCGGATTGGATCATGTTTGTTAATGGTAAAGTGATCTATGACAGATGTATGGGGGCAACCCACTAAAGAATCGCATTTGTCTAAATAATCATAATCTTAATAAAATCTAGTCCTCATATAAAAATACCTTATTTGAACCATCATGATAGATTCCCAGAGCTGAGTGTGTTGATAACTCAATAAGAGAGCTCTTGACTGAAAAGGAGACATCCTAAAAAAGGGTCTGTGGTCTTCATATTTAATGTTGAGCATTACTATGAATGATTTTATGTTTATCCATTAAGTATATTTTTGTATCACTTCTGGTGTGTTCTGATCTTTAGGTGAAGAACTTATGCTATTCCCTTGGATACCTTTATTATTAACCCAACAGGTATGTGATTGCAGCCCCATAATTGTTAGTGCTACAGGAGCATAGCCTAAGAGATGTCTGGCATCCTGGGAGGTCTGGAACAATATGGCAATGAAAGTGATGTTTGATATAAGTAGGAGTTGACTGGGCATGTAATATGGAGAAGGACAGATATAGCAGAAGGAAACACATATGCAAAGACTGGACTTTACCCTGTGAGGAGAACTCTGAATATATGTCTTTGGGCAGTCACATATAATGTATTTAAAGGAGTGAAATATTAACTTGGTAATAATCAAGGGAACAGGTCATTGTGCTCAACTAAGACTTAGAATCTTGACCTGAGGGAATGGAGACATTCCTGATAAGATTTTGGAGGATTTTAAGCAAGGGGATTAGATGGCAGCTAAGTGTGAGTAGAATCAGGACAGATACTCCATTTGGAGATTATTAGAATAGTTCAGATGAAAAATAATAGGGTATAAACTTAGACAGTGGGGTGAGAGGAAAGAGCAAGAAGAAGTATTTAGGAAGTTGGTTCAATAAGTTTTGGGAACCAGCTGTCAAGTTACAAATGTCTGTTAGCTATCTTATTTGGGGTGCTAGGTAGATAGTGATACCAATTCTGCAATCAGGGAGAAAGAGGAAAGGGTCGGAGTTTGAGATGGGAGATGCCTATAGGCAGATCCTATAATGGAGGTCCAAGTAGTTTGGTTTACGAATCTGGGTCAGAATAAGGAGAGCTGGACTAGACATTTAGAAATGCAGCAGGTGCTGTCCATATCCTACCCATACTTCTTTGCCCCTTAACTGCATTCTGACCCATCTGTCCATTGCCAGTTAGTGCCCTCTAAGGCTGCCCTCCATGTGTTCATGGCAAGCTGGAAGTGCTGAAGATTTAATGCCTTCCCAGGAGCAGCCCTCATGCCTCGACTCTCAGGAGTTGTGAATAAATAACCCAGCTTATTTGTCCCTCAACTAGAGTATTTCTGTAGTGTGCTGTACACCATTTCCTGGAGCTTCCCAACAGGACTTTGTTCTTTTGCCCTTGTGGTATCTTGCTTGATAATGTTTACTTTATTAACTCCCTCTCTTTCTTGTCTTCCTTGCTCCCCTAATGTTTCCTAATGATGTTGGCATTACCTCCAAAATAAACTGCTTGTGTTTAAATCCTTGTCTCAGGATCTGCTTCTCAGGAAGTCCAAACTAAGACAAGCAGGGAAAGTTGACTAGTTGGCTGCATTTGAAAAATAGCTTATTTTTACAGCTTTTACAAAAACATGGAGTTATTAAAATATAATGTCCAGGTACCCTTCCAGGGCCCTGGAAGAGAAGCTGTATAGGTGAGTGAGTGAGAGAGAGAGAGAGTGTGTGTGTGTGTGTGTGTTTGCAGAGCATTGACTTTATACACAATGGTGGACACTGGTTAAGTAGTTTCTGTGTGATTGTTATCTTCATCTTTGATACTAAAATTTGAAGTTTAGCACAGCAGGCAATTGGGAAGGGAAAAAGGACATAAGGTAGTGAAGAGGAAGGATGAGTGAGAATCCAGGAAGAGCTGGGACTGTAAGAATGAACTGGGGCCTGTGTCAGTGTTCACTGCCTCCAACTTTGATAAAGTCGTGCCCTTTGTTTAAAATGGCCCAGAGTGGAAGGAATGGCTCAGGGATTGAAGATGTTGAAGAAAGATCCAGGAGAAGGTAGAGCATCTGCTAGCTTGGGT